TATACATATATATATATATACACACACAAGAGGAAAGTGTCAACATAATTCATTTAATATGTTTTGATATCTTATTTCTTTGCTGTTGGTTAGTCAGGTGTTTTATAATTAAATGTTATTCAATCTCTGTTTGTTTGGGTTTTTTTGTTTTTGTTTTTGTTTTTTCCTCAGGGAGAACCTGGAAAACAAGGAGAAAAGGTAAGGATGACCTTGCCTGTATTTTTCCCCCTAAAGAGTTGTCTAGGCTGAACTGGATGGGAGGGAGAGATACATGGATGAATGGACAGACAGACAGGCAGATAGATATAATAAATAGAAATGGAAGTATCAGTAATGACTTCCTTTATTTCTCAAACTGTTAATTAGTGTCAGAAGAAAATAATGCAATTTTTTATATAGAAAGAAGCCTGAATAAAAGTTTTATCAAAATGGAGAGACAGGAAGCAAATTTAAACATCTGTATCAGACTTTTAAATGGCTTTTGAAAATCCCCACGCCTGCAAAATCTCTGTACTACTTACTTGCTAATGCCTTTCCAATGCTTTTTTAAGCATCTACATCTCTCTCTACTGCTTCTTATGTCACCAGGTTAAAGGGATACAGATGTTTACTTGCAGCAATTATCTTAAACTTGCTCCACAAAGAATTCCCATAAAAAGGAGAACAGGGTGTTGCATGTTCAATTTCTGAGCCTTTTTTCCTTCTTTTGGGGCCTGTGCTGATCATTTTTAGAGTCTGGTGCATGTGGTGGTACTTGGTTTCCTGGTTTTCATAGTTTACTTTCATGGCATCCAAGTGTGCTGTCTAAGCAGGGAACCGCTGAGATACTGCATCACAATCAGATCTTTCTGACAGTCAGTTTTTCAACCCCTGGTTCCAACGAAGTTCATCCAAAAACCAATATAAAAGTCTTCAATGTAACTGTACTTTTCAACATGGTAAAGAAAAAAGAAGCATTTCTTTAAATAGAAGAAAAGCAAAATAGAGGGTGGGAAGAACAGCTTCATGAATGAACGACCCATGTCAGGCCTTTCACTTTACAGCCACTCTGAGTCAGTTTTTTAAATAAGGGGGTTTGTTTTCTAATAAAGTGATTTTCAAGCAATTCTTTTAAAAGCATGCAAATAAACTGCCTATCAAAGTTCCTTCAGAATAAATTACTAGTATATTTACCTGGCATCCAACCAGTTTGAGAGAATTAACTAGAAATTAATTAGTCATCAGGTAACTGTTTTGTGCAGAGCTGAAGGAAGGGAAGAAGCAATGCCAATCCCTCCCATGTCCATGAAAGAAGAAGCGCCAGCTTTCAAGGTGCACCATGGAATGTCCATCATCACGGACAGAATGTAGAGCAACTCACCCTCATGCCTTTTGAAACAAAAGAAAACAGTGAAAGCCTCCCTCTGTTGGGGACCACAAGTTATAAATTGAATCTAGGGGACATCTAAGCTGTCCTTGTCCTGCCCTTTGAGCCGGATTGCAGTGCAGAAATTCCCTGCTCTTTCCTGGTCACAGCTCTAAGGTCTAGGGCTAGTGACTGCTGTGGCGCTCACAGGGCAAGGTAAGACCTGCTGAAGAAGATGAGACACCTGAGGAAACTATAGCTTCTTTATTGCCCCATCTCATCCTTGCAAGAATGCATTGTCCTTCTTTCTGGTCCACCTGAGGTCAGCAGTACTGTTCTCGGAAACACGCACTGCACTTCACCCATTGTCCTTGACCAGATGTAATCATTAAATACCAAGTTTCTGGCTGCCTCCTGGCTTTTTGTTCCCCATGAACAACTGGTCATCCCAGATCTCCACTGCACCACTATTTTGTCTCTGGCACTTTCTTCCCACTGTGCACATAACTCTAGGCAGGAGACTGGGAACTCACTGCAGGGGTCCCTGATAACTGGCTCCATGGAAAGGGTCTCTAATATCCCTCTTTTACTTCCTCTCTCCCAAGGAATTCTTAACAGTTTCTTTTTTGTTTTAAGGAACTTTTTTAATGCTAGAAAAGCAACCTCTTAGGGGGCATTCCAGCCTATAGCATCTGTGAACAATGTGTTGTTACCGCTAATGGCCATCAAAAATGGCCTATGATGTGTCAGATACCATCCTCAGCACTCTACCTATAGTATGGTGCTTATTTCTCTCTTTTTTTTATTCCACTTTATTATTTTTTATTTTAAAGAAATTAGTACAAAGAAAGGAACAATAGCAAAATACAAACAACACAAAGCAAGGACATTAAAAATGGTACAGGGTTTCAAACCAAATGATAGAGATTAACAGTGGTTGTTATATTACATATTGTTATCATCAACGAAGTTGCTCAGATTACCAGATGTAGGAATAGAGGGTTGATCAAATCATCGAAGGGAATAAGAAAATAATAATTTTAAAGGACATTAGAGACAATACATAGTGTCAGTAGGCAGGATTGTAGGAATTCACCAATGGATATTATTCTGCAAATTGTTATCATCACATAAATTGCTCAGATTACCAGATACAAGCATGCAAAATTGGTCAAAATATTTAAAAACAACTTTTAATCATTAACTGTTCTCCTCAACAAACCATCAGCTTATTTCTTTTAAGAAAAAAATAAAAAGAAAGAAAGAAAACACCCTTACAATACACAGAGGAACGTGATGCAAACAGAATTCCATTTGGCCAGTGATTGTCAGAGGTGGATGCTGTCTTTGAGGCTCCTAAGTCTGTGACATTTCTCCTATAACATGCAGCAAAGCTTAAAGAACTTAGAACTTAAAGAAAGCATGAAGAATTGATGAGTTCCTTTTTCCCTGTGCATTGCTTTGTGGAGAAAAAGGAGATGTCTGTGAAAGAACATAGGAAGTTTTGAAAATAACAAGAAGCATAATGATTTATAAAAACAAAACAAAACAAAGTTTTCTAATAAAACATGATGCTTTTATTTCACAAATCCAAATTATGTAAGCCCAAATAAATAAATATACTGCCAGCAGGCTTTGAGAGGCACACCCTCCTCTCCAAAGTCCTGGAGACTTGGGAAGGCTTGAAGATGAGGTGGGATTTATATTGGTGGAAGACAAAAGGCAGAGCAGGAGCCAGGTGACACAAAGCAGGACACAGAAGTGGCACGTGGAAGGTAACATGGTGCCAGGAGAATTTTCAGGAGAAAGCCTTTGCTTCAAGAGCTTTGAGTAGAGGAGAAAGGAGACAGAGGGAGGAGGCTTAAGTGTCCAAATAAGCTATTAGAAGGTGAGCAGATAAATTACTGCTTTCTGTTACTATTATGGAGTTTAAAACTATTCAGCCATGTTCACTGTAATAAAATTAATTGTATTGTTATCAGCCAGCTGTACAAGTAAAAGTACATTAGCTCAGTAGAACACTGGCAAGTGATTTTTATCTGTGTGTGAAAGGAAACTTAATAAAAATACTCCTTGCTTAATGTTACCAGTTGATTTTTATACATCGCACTTTTTCCTTTCCTCAGGGAGATGCTGGAGAAGGTGGCCCCAAAGGTGACACAGGAGAAAAGGTACAGTTTTGCAAAATATGAAAGAGTCTGTGTATAAGCAAGCATATGATTTCATATGAAAAAGAGGGATTTTGAAAGAGGTGCGTCAGACTAGCTTAATAGGACAAGGTCAGAAATAACTCCCCAAAGTTAGAGAATATTTTGACATTTGATCTATAAAATGTTGTTACTCCTCATCCTGTCTACAAATTTAAATGTTTTGAAAGAAAAATGATATGTCAACAATTCTAAAAATTTACTATGAAAGAGTTTCCAGTAATGTGGCTTCCAAAGTAGGCAAACACTTGTATGTATGTGGGGTCCTCCATTTATATGCAGGGGTGGAAAAGAGTCCCAACCTTGACCTGATTTACTCCAGTTGGAGGAGACAGTGTGTCAGGGAACTGGGACAAAATGTAAAAGTTTGATTGTAAGTTATTGTCATTGGATTAGAGTCTTCAGTGCAGTCTGAAAAATTTGCCTCAACTTAAAATCTCCTAAATCTAGATATTTTGTCAGCTTTTGTATTTTATTCTTAGCCATTGAAATCATGATTAGTGTTGATGGTGCAGTCATCCATGGCTTGTTTTTGTCCTTTTCTTCCCTGCTCTCTTCTATCATTGTAGCTTTTTATTTTTATTTTT